GTCTGGTGGAGGCCGTGGCACTTGTGGTCTATTAGTGCTTTGGACTAATCTTTCCCTTGTGTCTTTAATTTTCTTCATTCTCCCTTGCTCCCGAAAGGGCGAGACCAGTGGAGTATCTTAGATGGCTGCTCACAGGCTTTTAAGACCCCAGATGCTACTCACCAAAGTAGAATGTAGAACATTTTCTTTATAAACTATGTTATGCCAATTGAGCTAGATGTTCCCTGAGACCATGGTCCCCACAGCCCTTGGCCCAGTAATTCAATCCCTAAGAGAGTTTGGGTTTGTCCATGGAGCTTCCATGACCTTACACTGAACAAGTTGTGCTGGCTTCCCCAGTATTGTGTACTCTTACTCTTCACCAAAGTTACCACTTATTTATTGTCTGTTTAGTGTTTTTCCACCCCCACACCTCCCCTCGCTCGTAACCATCAAAGATTGTTTCTGTTTGTGTGTAAACCTTTTAAAAGAAGGTATCATTCTTATGTCCATTTTACAAATACGGAAACTGAGGCACAGCAAGGGAAAGAGGCTCCTTCCTGGTCACACTGTTGGTAAGAAGCAGGGCTGCAATTCACTCCCTGGCCCACGTGACTCTGGAGGCCTCTGAGGTCCAAGGTTAGGGCCTGGGAATCCCCTTCTGCAAGCATTTATGAAGGCCCTGCTGCAGGTCAGGCTTGATCTAAGGGTGGGACAAAGCCATGGAAGAGGTAGACAGTAACCAAATCATGCTATAAACATACTTAAAGTGGCCACTGTGACCCATGCCATGAGGTTGAAAACACGGCTTGGGGGAAACGTTACCTTCCCTGACATCCCCTGCTCTGCCAGGACAGGGACCCCTCTAGGGAGAAGAGATGATCTAACTTCACTCTGAAGGTTGGGTTGCATTTAACTAGGCAGGGACAGGGCCTGACCCATAAAAGCCACTCTACAAATGGCAGCTTCCCCAGGGCGAAGCAAACAACTCTGGCCCCTGCTTGGTTCCTACTGTGATGAGAAGCTCATTCCCTCACTCCCTTCCTCAGCCCGAAGGGAAAGCTTTTAGTCAGCCTCCCTGGCATGGTGGCCCACAAAGACATCCACAGTCCCTTGGAAAAGAGGTCCCAAAGCTTAGGCAGAGGAGGGCTTAGGCTGGGGTGGGGCAGCAGCTTAGGGCAGCCCCCTGCCCATCTATATCCATGGGAGGGTGAGGAGCTGCTGGTTCACCTGGATCCTCCCTGCCACCTCCTCCCTGAGCCCTGTAAGCATCAGCCCATTCTCCAGGTGAGAAAACTGAGGTCTACACTGAGGAAGCCACTTCTTCCACCTGGATTTGGCCAAGACATCTTCAGGTCAAGGCTGCTCAAGGCACACCAAGTCCCAGCTCCTCCTGGAGGCCCAGGGAAGCCATGCAACTCCCTCCTTTCTGTCACACTATTGCTTTCTGTCCACACCCACACAAGGAGCAACGTCTGCCTGGGCCCCTCGCCCAGCTACCCCCGCAGAACATACCAAGTGGTCCCGGTTCTGCATCTGCCCAGCCCTCGGCAAACCCTCAGTGGATTCCAGGAGCCTCAGGCTGACCAGCACCTTTCCCAGTAATTTATTTATTTTTTATTTTATTTTATTTTTTTGTAATACAGAAAAAGTCACTCTTTGCACAGAACAGACTGTATTTTCTTTGTTCCCCACAGAGCTCGCGCCTTCTGTGGCATCAGGCCTGAGAGTGAAGCCAAGTACTCTGCTTGTTCAGATGCCTCATGAAGTTAGAAGCAGCTGGGGAAACCAAGTTTGTGGTTCAGTTTCCCCAGCTCAGGTTAGCAGTCCCTCCAGTACTGGGTGAGTCGGCGGCTGCAGGGGGAACTGGTCCTCGAGGAGCACTCACACATGGGCACGACTGATAGAAACAGGTAACATGGCTCCTCGGGGCACAGGATTGGGGGATGGGAGGGAAGATAAGGTCTCTTCCAAGCCCAGGATATTCAGAGTGACTTCCCTGAGGAGGGAGCAGTGGAGTTGAGCCAGGAAGGATCAGGCAGAATTATGCTACAGGGAGGGTCTTCTGGGTGGAGGGAACAGCTTGGGCAAAGGCCTAGGAAGGGGGATTCTGATCTTGGGATGGGAATATCTCCAGAAGCAACAAGACCCAGAATTCACCTATTCCCCTAAGGGTCTTTGAAGGTAGCTGGCAGCTACCTTCATGACCCACGCCACAAGGCTGAACACACAGCTTGGGGGAAGCGTAACTGGCCCTGATTCTTCTTGGGGGAAAGGAAAGAGGGAAAAGAGAAGCAAGCACTCCAAGGCCTTGGGAGATGAAAAGCCAGAACCTCTGAGGGTGCTGGAAAACTCAAGTTTTCGGTTTGGAGCTTCAGGGAACCCAGGTCTCAGCTCTGAGTCCAGTGCCTCTGCCCACCAGCTCAATGTCCCTTTGCAACAGGACTGACCGGTGGGCCCCGCCGGCAGCCTGAGGCCAGCTCAGCCACTCCCAAAAGACCTGCTCCTGAGCAGCTGCAGGAAGGGGTGGGGGCCCTGGGCTCAGAGGGGGCAAACCCAGGACTGCCACCATTCAGTGGGGCTCTGACACTGACAGTCCCTCCACCCTGGACTTCGGACCCTGTAACAATAGCAGTAATAATCATAATCCCCAGCTGATGGGCTTGTCTTTGGGGAGTCAGAGGTGGACACGCCTGGGGCCAGAGGGATCAGGGCTGGGGGAAGAGCACGCAGGCAGGATCTGAGCAGGTGCCCCAGACTAACCCCATTAAGCGCTTACTGTTTGCCTCTCTCTCCTTGTCCCCATTCCACTCTCCTCCCAGTCCAGGTGTCTTAACTTCCTGGCAACACCTGGGGATCCTCAAGGTGGGTGGACCTGCCCCTGCCTCAGCACCTTATGGAGTGACCTGACCGGTAGGAACCTAACCTCCATCATAAGCCTAAGGTGATGACCCCGGGCAATCAGGGCATCTGACGGCAGTGACTTGAAGGGTCAGGGTGGGTCCCCAGGTAGTGACTGGAGGATGAGACCACCATGTCTGTTCGTCTGTCCCTCTGTCTCCTTCTGTGTCTCTGCCTATCTCTGGGTGTCCTCTCATCCCAGATATCTGTCGCCGTCTGTCTCTCTGTCGCATCCCCGACCCCAGCCCCACTCCTCTCTGTGCTCCTCGCCCCCTCCCTGCGCTTCGCGCCCACCACCCCTTCCCTAGGGGCGCGCTGGGCGGCCAGCAGGGGCGCTGCGGGGAGCTCACCGGCCGGGAGGCGGGGCGGGCGGCTGCCGCGTC